TTTATTTGTGATTATAAAATCTAATCAAATTAAAACAGTATAATAAATTAAATTATTATTAATAAACTCAGAAAATTAATTATTTCTTACAAGTATATTAACAATATATCAAATAATATTACGATACCTCCAAGTTCCACAAGCTTCTGAGCTTTGCTTTTGCTTTTTAAAGAGTATTTCTAAACTTCTATTATGTAAATTCCTAATGTGGGACAGTGCCTTGAACCATAAAAGGCAAGGCGTGGAAGTTTTTTTCTAGAGACATTTACATGCATACCAGCTAATCCTTACGTGTTTACATATCTAACACCTAAATGCTAAAGGCACGGGGCAAGGCATGGATTTAGGGAAGGGGCATCTACAAACATACCACCCAATTTTTATGTATTTACATATATAACACCTAGGGGCATTTACAAACATAGCACCCAATTTTTATTCATTTATTATATCTGACACCTAAATTCTGAAAAGAAGCAGGGCGCGATTTGGAAAATTCTAAGGGCAATCCATTCTTATGTATTTACATATCTAACACCTAAATGTCATTTTCTTATATTTATACAAAGTGAATTTTTATATCATATCAAAGATATTCTTATTTTAACTTTTACATATCATTTAAATAATTCGAGGCAAAATGAGTCAAACACGATCGAACAAAAGTTTGTTCCTGTTCAACTCGTTTATAAATTGAGCTACAAAATTTTCTTATGATCGGCTCGTTTGCTTAACGAACGAATCGAACACAAATTGTTCGCGAAAGATGAGCTTTTTTTACAGCCTAGAGGTGTATGTAATAACCAATGGAGGATTTAGTAAAGCACTAAGAGGAAATTTGGGTTGTGGACTATTTTCATTAAGTATAAAGAAAGAGTGGTTGAGAAGGAAAATATTAAAGAGGAGAAAAAATAAAAGAAGAAAAAAAAAATCTATGTGATTAAGTACTATCTTGACATGGAGAAAAAAAAATAATTATGTTAAAAATTTTGTGGAAACTCCATAGACATGCAAGGTATATTTTGAAAAATTTTTAATGTATAATTTCTAATATCAGTTAAATATTTTTTTATTTATTATCTCTCTTAAGATATATTCTCTTTTGTTATCCTCTCAATTTTTATTTACAGTTTTACCCCTTACAATTTTAAATCTGCAATGTTTTACTTGTAAGTCTCCAAGGTCATATGCTAGCACATTTTCTATCCCAATGCAATGGCTTATTCTTAAGCCTGTCAAACCTAAGCATGTGATTGTCCATGCATGGCAAACTTGCCATATCTCATGCCTTTATGTTCAATTTGATTGCCACCCACCTCCTAAGCATTCAACCTGAGCACATCCACTCTACCTTGCAAACCTGTCGTGTTCATCTTGTAGCACAACATGCCCTCCACATGACCTTGTTTGTGCCTCGAGCCCCAAATAGCTTCAACGTCCTTATTTTGAAACTCTGCATGTATCTACGACATTAATGCAGCATTAACACACCCATTCACCCACTTCCAAGTCATTACACTAACGTTGGCATGTGCATGCCCCACTCGCCTTTTCCTTATTGCAAATGTCATGCCAACTGCTCGTTTCAACATGCATTTCGTCATTTATTCAATAGCCTTACATGCATGGTCAGCATGTCCACTTCAACTTTATTATGGGGCCCATCACTAATTAACATATTCGCTCGCTCACACTCACAACCACTTGAGTCCCAAACAGAGTTACATCCATAACTTCACCCACATCTATTTGTAATCTATCCCTAAATGCATTCCACAATTATTTACCTATGCCCTTAACACTAAATTGCCTCCACCATAGTGCATAAACTTGCATATTTCACTCTTGCTTGTTATCCTATCAATTAAGCACCACAAACTAGACCTCGGCCTAAATTCAAAAGCCCTCTAAATCCTTGAACCACATTGTAAGTCAGCATTGTTTAATTATCCAACATTCAAGTTAAATTTGGGCTTGAGGTCAATTCAGTAAAATGTATTGAACTTTCAAGCTCGTAGAATTCAAGTTGGATGGTTGAAGTGGATGAATGCATCGGGCCTATTGTGTGATAGAAAAATATAGCTTAGACTTAAAAGGAAAATTTTATAAAATGGTTGTGAGAATTGCAATGTTTTATGGAGCAGAGTATTGGCCTGCAAAAGACAAAAAAAAAATAAGTAAAGTGTTGTTAAGATGAGAATGCTCGGCTAGATGAGCGGTTGTACACTTAGAGATAAAATGTGAAATGAATATATTCATGAAAAGGTTGGAGTAGCTCCAGTGGCAGCAGACAAGATTAGAGAGAGTCGCCTTAGATGATTTGGTCATATTAAACATAGACCATTTGAAGATCCTGTTAGGAGAGTAGATATTTTAGATTTGACTTATGCTAAGATAGATAGAGGTAGATCTAAAAAGACTTGGGTATGTTATATAAAAAGCGATCTTAATTTACTAGAATTAAATGAAAATATGACACTCAATAGAACACATTGGAGAAAAAGGATTCATGTAGTTGCCACACTTAGTGGGAAAGACTTCTTGTTATTGTATTAAACTTTCAAGCTTCCAAAAATATCCATCCCGAGTTTTGTTGTTGTTCATGAGGATTTAGGGCAAAATTATACAATTGTTATTGATGGTTATCGGTTTTTTTCTTCTTAATCGATTTAATCCGGACGGCTTTTCCCTTCTCTTTATCTCAGAAATGATTTATCATTAGTCTACCTTCTCATAATGAATTTTACCAAGATATTAGTATGGTTAGATAATTTAGTTTCTCTTCTGAAATTTCCTCAACATAAAATTTCCTCAACCATAGAAGAGCACGTGTATAACGATTAGGACTTATTTCAATTTATTATCTATTTTTTTGTTTTAATTGTAATTTCGAGCATTTAGTAGACTTTCCATATATATAAGAAGACATTTTGATCAAGGATTCCATTTAGTTAATGTTGAATAAAATTTTGAGATTTTCCAACTCATCACTGGAATTCATCAACTCTTACTCTTATCGTTGTCATCAATTTGTCTCCTCCCTCATCTCTTATCCCCATTATTACTACATGATTCATTATATTAAATCTTTAATTCCTTTAGGTTACTTTTCTTTGAATAGATCATAATTCATATGAAACATATATAATATCTATGTGGTATACTAGTTATCAAACAAAAAATACATGGAACTTTATAAATCTTCATTGTAAGTTTTACACTTAAAATAATTTATAATATATACATTAGAGAGCATAGAAATATTCTTTCATAACATTTAAACAAACTATATACTAATGTATTACATATATTCATGTGCATGGATTGCATGAAAATATTCTTTGGAAGCTTGCTATTAACTAAAATGATTATGAAGTTTCTATCCTACTTTTATTGAAGATGGATGGAATTCAAAAAAGTGATAAGCCCATGATCCATCAAAAAATACATAAATATTCAAGTCTAATAATCTAATCTTTGTCATCATTCATAATGATATAATATTCAGTGTTGTTTTAGGATATCAAATGTGCCTTAAGAAGTGGACACATAAGCCTAGATGTGATGATTTATGAATATTTCTACAGAGAATATAACAATTATGTGTGATGTATTAGAATAACAACTAACAATTTGTAAGATCAGAATTTTTCCAAAATGGAATGATTTGATGTGGTCTTTATGCTATTCCGGTAGTTATACTTAAGAAATTAATTTAATTTTTTGTAGTTGGAGTTGCAATTATTTTGACTTCTATGCCTTGAGATTCCTTGAGACTTCCATTATTTGTTTTTTTCTATTTTATGGCCATATCTTCATCTGTAACTCCTTTACTTTTACCAATGACAAATAAATGATGTATTTTTTTTATATATAATTGGACGTAAGCAAAGCATTTCTGCGAATTAACTTTTCTCAATAATAAGAATTTGTTCCTCAAAATACGTAAACAGGTATTTATTTTCTTTTTTAAATCAAACTATTCTAGTCATAATGCTCATAGATGGAAAAATAGAAGAATGTGGATATCTCCAGAGCAATTACGTTAGTTGATATTGGTAGTCCATGAGAGTAAATAGACTTTCTATATATTGAATTAGCTGTAAAAGCCATTAAGAGTTTCATGCCATATAGTTTCCTTCAGGCCACGTTTTATACCTGCTTACTTTCTTCCTATAACAAGCATAAATAACCTTATTACAACTAGTCATTAACACAAGGTGGAAGTTTTGTTCTTTTTTTGCCATTGAGCCTCCTTGTCCCCTAAGACTTCTAATTTATCTTCTCTGTTGCCCTTTCTCTTGAAAAAAGGAACTAATAGATTCACTCATAAATATTTAAGAAAATATCGAATTAAGATTGCATTGTTTTGAAGAAGCTGATTGATTTGACAACACTAGACCATGAAGGTCCTATTTTTATATAACTTGAATAAAAATTCCAAACTGAACTTACTCACCAAACGGGTCCTTAAACTCTAAATTTGATATCACATTTTTTTTTTTTATCGTTCTTACTACAAGCAAGAATTATCTCCAAGATGTTATCGACTCTCCATAGTTTCATATCATTTGGACTTATGAAGATCCCAACCAATATCCAACTTACCATATCACATATGGATGGAACAAAATTTGATTTCCAGCTTAATAAAAGTCACTAAATAGAAAAACTCTTTTCTAGCTAAGAAAGTTCCAGATAGTATAATTACTAACTATCCATTTAAAAATCAAGCAATCAAGATAGCTTGAAAGTAATTCGATACATTTTGATCATATTTTTTATCATAACCAATCAAAAAATCATAAACTGCGCTCAACTATAGCCATGAATCCACAGCTGTCTAACGCTTGACTAAGATCTTCACAGAACACTATATATAAACTCTGCATGTCAGTTCATCGTCATCAAGAAAGCAAGCATCAACAACCCAAGAAGTTCAAAAATCTTGATCCTCAACTAACTATAAAAAGCAATTTTTTTTTCTTGAGTAAGCTTACTCTGGAAAGTTGTCGAGAAGGATTTCCACGGAGTCATCAAGTGGCCGACCAAGTTTCTTCTCCTCCTCTTCCTCCGTTTCTTTCAACCACAAAATAGCATGGACCCTCTGCCTCATAATCCTGAAATCCTTCGCCAGCCTCTCGATATTATATACCTCCGGATTCTCCTTATGAAGCTTGTACATTTCATTCTTCTCCGAATCTTTCAAATACGATCCCCTCACCCCGGGTTCCCTCACTTGCTTCAGCAGTTGACAAGTCTCTATCATACGATCCTTCCAACCGTCCACGAAAGCCTTATCCTTCCTATTGTCCTTCTCCACCATCCTCAGAATCTCGTCCAAGTCGTCCATCCGCGCAGCTTCCTCCATCACCGTTGATTTCTTCGTCTGAGGCGGAGATTGCCCGGGGACGAGTTGACGTCCGACAGCTTCACCATCGAAATGATCCTTAGTCAGGCCAGTCGACCAGGAGGATGCCTCATCCCAGTCGAAGCTGGACGGAGGATCCGAACCACCTTCCGAAGGGGTCTGGCCGGAGGAATTCCAGGACTTGTCCCAGGAATCATCTTTTCTTCCTCCGGCGCCTGAACCTGAGGAAAAGATTCGGAAAGGTGTCGAAGAGGAAACCCAAGGAATCGGGGTGTGGAGGTTGCGCAAGGGACGGAAATGAAGGAGGCCTCGAATTGCTGGAAGCATTACGTATTGACGTAGAGGAAGACGATGGCGTGAACTGTGGAGTCAAGGTGTTCTGCAGCATTCGTCCACCATGTAAGCGGTGGTGGAGCTCGGCGGGCGTAAATTCGAGCAAAATAGGGTTCTAAGCTTAAGCGATCCCGGAGTTTATTCGCTTTGCCTATATGAATTTTATAATGTGTATTTAAAATAGAAGAAATACTTGTATTGTATTTGACTAGTTTATATTTCAAATATAAAAAAATTATTTATTATCAGCTTGTTTGTTTAAAGAGCTGAACATAAATTATTCACAAACTCTTTCTCTAATTAGACAGTCATTGAGTGTTCAAGATTTAGGCGAAATTTAAATCTTATTACTTATATTAAAATATCATTTAAACATAATTTAATATATTTTTATTTTATTTTTTTAATTTATAATTTTAATTGATTAAATATCTTTATAGCCTTATAGTCACTTAAATATTTAAAAAAAACACTCATTAATTTTATATATGTATAATTTATTATTTCAAACTAAAATGAACAAAATACGGGCGAACAAATCTTTCTTAATTTTCTGCTAGTTAAAATAACAAGTGAAAAAAAAAATTCAAGTGTTCAACTCGTTTGCTTTGTGAATGAATTGAACACAAGCTTCTTAATAAACCAAACATGACAGGCTTAGTTGCAAAAGAGGGAAAATTTTATGAAAAAAATACATGGGTTTCATAATTCATAAAGCATATTAAGCTCTCCCATTTGCACAGCAACACCTCTTTACTAAGAAGAAATATTACATCAGGACTCCGCACGTAGAGTCCAATGAAATCATGTCACACGTAGAGAAAAAAAAATTTGTCTGATAACACAGAGAAATATTCACTCTGTATTATTCAGGTGTTATTGTATGTTATTCAAGTGTTATTGATGTGTTATGGTGTTATTATAACACCAAAAATATTCTCATAACACAATAACACGAATAACATATAATAACACCTGAATAACACTGAGGGGATATTCTATTGTGTTACCGAGCCGATTTTTTTTCTCATGTGGAGCTATTTCATTGGACTCCGCACGTAACTCTACATGCGGAGTCCTGATGTAATATTTTTTCCTCTACGTGCGGAGTCCAGTGAAATCACGTCACACGTAAAGAAAAAAAATCAGTCTAATAACACAGAAAAATATTCTCCATGTGTTATTCAGGTGTTATTGTATGTTATTCAAGTGTTATTGATGTGCTATTGTGTTATAATAACACCAGAAATATTCCCAGAACATAATAACATAAATAAAATATAATAACATCTGAATAACACGGGGGAATATTCCACTGAGTTACCGGACCGATTTTTTTTTCTCACGTGGAATAATTTCATTGGACTCCGCACGTAAAAGAGTCCTGATGTAATATTTTTTCCTTTACTAATGGGTCTCTCACTCACCCCAACAGAACAGGTAATATCTCATAAAGAAAGCATAATCAATACAGGGTTCCCACAACTGTAATGGAAAAGCGCCTAAGGCACAAAATAGCTCTCAATCAGTCAGCACAATCTGTTTTATTCTTATCCTATCCATTTAAGAAATTTTTTGCTTTTCTTTCAACCAAAATACAAACACAGCCTATCTGATTCTGTAAAATGATCACATTCCTGTATCAAAGTAAAAAAAGAATCAGATATTCAGAATGTCAATCTCTCTCCTCTGCTATCAGATTCTTAATGAAGAAACCAGCCATCTTTACAGCCCATTTCACATCCATAAACACAAGAGCTCATCAACGGTCTTTCCCTCAAAAGCTCCTCCATTCTTCCTCCTTCCTTCCCATGCAATCTTGTGTTCCCGAAGCCAAGCCATCGAAGGCCCCGAAAGTAAGGACGAGAAAAAAACTCTATTGAATCAGCTGACAGTCTACTGCATTTATAAATATCAAGCCTTTTGATCAATCTTCTTTTGCCTTCAAAATCTGGCATCAAGCCAAGAGCTCTAATTGATCCATCACTTACAAAGAAGCAATGCCTAATGCAGAGACTACTGATTTCGCTGCACATCCTCACAATCAAAGCAATTGTTTCATCTGTTACCCCCGGCAAGTAACCCAAGTCCAACTTTGACAGAGTTCCAACGATCACACTATCCTTCTTAAAAAGCTTTCTGAAACCTCGGTCTCCAATCCTTCGGCAGCCGCGCAGACACAAAGTAGCGATTGGAGAACGGCCCAAACCAAGGGCCGATAAACTGCTATCGGTGATATCAGCTCCGCTCAGATCCAGCAAAGTAAGCTTATTGAGCATCGAAATTGAATTCAATCCATGATCAGCAATGCTTTTGCAACCCCCCAAGTCCAGCATTTCCAAGTTCTTGCATAATGATAACGATTCCGCAGCTTCGCTGGTTAGAAGATTGCAGGATATCAATACCACTTCAACAAGAGATGTTGATACAAAGGTAAGACCATGAAATGCTAAGTCTGACAACAAATAGCCGTTGATGACTTCAAATCTTTTCAGAGTCTTGAAGGACTGCAGAATGGATATATAACCAGCATCTGTTACTTTAGAAAATCCTTCCAGCCTAATGGATTCAAGCCTTGTGCATCCTTCAGCCAGAACTAGAATGCCAACATCAGTTATTCTCCCGAAGACATTCGGTCGGCTCCTTGACAGAGCAAGGCATGTCAGTCTTTTGCTCGAACTTAATAACTCGAGTCCCGCATTTGTTAGGTCATTGTGCGGAGCTGGTTTTGTCCATAGATTGTCTTCCAGACATAGGACGGTTAAATAATGCAAATAATTTGTAATTATTAGAATAAGTCGATCCGTAATGAGATCTAGAATAAGTGTGAGTGACTGCAGCATGAGACAAGAAGGCTGAACATCTATGGTAGAAGGAAGATTTTTATCTATACTAAGTTGATTGCTTAAAATAAGCTCTGCTGCTTGCCAATTCTTGATAGGTTGCAGCAGCAAAGTTTTGAGAGGCTTTGGAAGGACAAGCTGGATGTTATCAAATCCACCATGGAGATGAAATGGAGTATGAAACTTTATACTTAAAGACTGAACACAGTAAAAAAGAACATAAGAAAACAAATTAAAAACCACAATTTGATAGAAGCAATTTTAATGAATATTCTGTGGTTAAAAAATGTTGCGGATAATATCACCTCTAAGTGGAGGCATCTCTTGAACATCTTTTCTATGGATTTTTTGCATTTAGGAGTAAAATGAGGTCCATCTCCACAGACCAATTCCAAACTTAGTATTCTGAAATGAGGCAGACGATAACATATCTGAATAAATGCAAGGACATATATGAATGCATAATTTCATTAAGCTAAAAAATCTTCAAAATCCTTCTAATCCAAACCCCAACAGTTTTGGCTACAACATGGAGGATTTAGCAAACAAATCATACTATATTGATAGCATTATATAAAACACTATAAAATAAAGGTTGGTGACATAACAAAGCGATGCTTCAATGTATAGAATAGATGATAGATCAGAGCATCATATTTCTATTATCTAAGCAAAAAATGAGCATATGTTATATGGTTTTAGTAGTGTTAAATTGTTAATTATTTATGAATATTACCAGAAGATCAAATGATAACTATATTTGATAAATTTAAATGACTTGTGTCTATGTATCAAAAGGCTGGTTATGAAAGTTATGGTTAAGAGGTTTAAGATGCAAAAATGCTTCAAACTAAGGAGGGGGGGAGCGGGGAATATTATAAAACAACAATTAAGCCAACTATTCTATATGTATCCGAGTGTCGAAGATTTTATGCCACTGATAAGCCAAATTGTTACAAAAAAGAAACTGTCAAGATGGATATGCCAAAAAATTAGGATGCATTGACTGAAATTAAATTAGAGGGATAGTGAGAGTAATAACTGCTAAAGATAATATAGTGAAGCTAAAATCACGCGGGTTGGATATTATATAATAGAGAGTAGAAAATGCACTAGTAAATCTTATCATAATGGAAGGATTAGTAGGGGGAACGAGCTAACACAAATAGAAAATATACAAAAAATTTGCATAAAATTGAGCTAACACCTAATTTCACACTTAGTAGAAATGAATGGAGAACATGAATACATAAAACCAACCAAGCATAGTGAGGATAAAATTAATAATGATGATCATGCTAATTCTTACTTTTGAGGAAAGGGTAAAAATAAACCAATGACAACAACAAGCCTTTATCCCACTAAGAAGGGTCGGCCACATGAATCATTTTTCTTCATTGTGTTCTGTATGTGTCCTGTAGAGCATCATATTTTCATTTAATTCTAATAAATTAAGATCATTTTTTATAAAACAAGCCCAAGTCTTTTTAAGTCTACCTCTATGTTCCTTAATATTAGTTAAATATAAAACATCTACTATTCTAACTGGGCCATCAAATGGGCGACGTTTAATTTGACCAAATCATCTAAAGGCAACTCTCTCTAATCTTGTATGCCACTGAAGTTACTCCAACCCTTTCACACATATTCGTTTCGCATTTTGTTTCTAAGTGTAAAGCCGCTCATCCATCTAAGCATTCTCATCCCAACAACACTTTTAACTTAAGTTTATGCTTCGCTTTTACAGACCAATATTTTGTGTCATAAAGTATTGCAGGTCTCACTATCATCTTATAAAATTTTCCTTCATGTCTAAGCAGTACTTTTCCGGTACTTTTTTATCACACAATAGGCCTGATGCATCCCTCCACTTCAATCATCCCATTTAAATTCTACTAATAACATACCCATCTATATCACAACACTTTGAACAATAGACCCTTGATATCTAAAACATTCACTCCTTTTAATGATTTGATCACCCACTATTACAACCCCATCACTAAATCTACTACTAATAAAATTAAATTCCATATATTAAATTTTAAATCTACTCAAAAGAAAGCCTGTAGTCTCTAAAATTGACCTCCATAATTCAAATTTTCCTAACTCTCTAGTATTGTCCATAAGAAGGATATCATGAAAAAAAAACATACATTCACCTATAAATGTCTAGCAAGAACACCCATAACTAAAGCAAAAAAATATGGGCTCCAAGTCGATCCTTGATGTAATCTAACTGAAATTAAAAGAAAAACACTTGGTCAATAATCCCTATTTTTGAACAAAAATAACAACTCTAACATACATATTTTTAATGACTTGAATATAAGTAATATCAATACATTTCCTTTCTAGAACTCTCCATAGTACTTCTCTTGGAATCTTATCATAAGTTTTTTCTAAATCAAAGAAAGTCAAATGTAGATCCTCCTTACTCTCTCTATACACCTCCATCAAATCTTTCAATAAATGTATGCCTTTTATAGTAGACTTGACCGACATGAATCTAAACTAATTTTGAGAAATTTTTGCATTGTAATATAAGTTCAATTATTCTCTCTTTCATAACTTTAATGTATGACACATTAATTTTATTCCTCAATAATTTACACACACTTGTACAACACTTTATTCTTAAAAATAAGAATTAATAGACTATTTATCCACTTATCAGGCATCTTTTTAATTTCTGAAATAATATTAAAAAATTTAGTAAGCCAAACAATTACTATATCTCTTAAACATTTCAACACTTCTATTGAAATACCATCAAATCTTACTATTTTTACACACTTCATTTTCTTTAAAACTATATCAACTTTCATTTTACTAATGCAATGGTAAAATAAAAAACTTTATTATTGTTTACGATATTAAAATCACTAAAGTCGGTTGTATTTTCACAATCTTCATTGAAAAAATTATCAAAATCTCTCGCTCATCTATGTTGAATATCCTCATGTAAGAAAAAATATTTTGAATTTTTCATCCTTAATATATTTTACATAAACTAAAACTTTATTTTTCTTTATCCCTTTGTTTAACTAGTTTATACATGTATCTTTCTCCTCTTTATTATCTAATATGTTATAAAGAACACTTAAAACATAATTTTTAGCATCATAAATAATTCTCTTAGACTCCCTACGAGACAGCTATATTTGTTTCTAACTCTTAAAATTTTTATACCTAAACCAATTTTTAAAATAATTTTTTTATTATCTTTTCTCGCACATTATTATTATACCACTAATTTTTATTCATAGAGTTTTTTCTTTTGATTCTTCAAAGACACTCTTGCAATTTGTTTACTATTACTCGTTATTTTATCTCAAATAGTATTAGTTTCTTCAAGAACATCCCAAATATTACAATCTCAAAGTTTAATCATTAAAATAATTTTATTTACCTTTTAAATCTCCCAGTCTAATTTCATCATAATATTTCATTGTATTTTTAATTTTTCAACTCTTCATCTAAAAATGCATAACATCTAGCCTACCGCTCTCTTCTAGAGATTCTTTGAATTAATTCCATCAACCTTACTATTGGTGCATTTCACTCCCCATCGCAAAAGGTTCAAACTACAAAACCCAACTAAGTTATTAGTGAGGCAGCTTGGTGGAAACAAAGGGCTAAGGTCTGCGAAACAATGGGCTAAGGTCTGCTAGTTGCAATACGGAAACCACAACACCAATTTTTCCATTCGATGGCCTCTACTTGGAATAGGGATGCCCATGGAGGAGCCGTGAGCAAACAACGGAATATTATGGAAGTGTTCTTGCAAATTTTCAGGTCTAAATGCTAATGCAATGCACCTCTTTTCTCCAATTGGCCTATTTTAAAAAGCATTCCACTATTTGTGATAACCCATAACAACCAACTCGTTGAAACAATTGAGGAGGAAACTCGGGCTACGGTTTTTCAGATGGGACTGAATTGGGCTCCTGGCAGTGATGGTGTAACTGCCTCTTTCTATAAAAATTGTTGGAGTATTGTCGAAGAAGAAGTCATCAATACTGTGAACAGTTTTTTTTTTATTCTGGGTCGGAGCAATGGAAGGAGACACTTATCATATTGATACCAAAAATTAATAATACTACCAGTCTGACACACTTTCGGCCTATTAAACAAATTCAAAGCTTCTAAGGCCACTTCGGGCTTTATGGCACTCAAATTGATATGGAATAGGCCTATGACCGGATGAGTTGGGATTCCCTTCGTGAGGTGTAAGAGAATGGGATTTCATGATACTTTTACCGATCGGGTTCTACAAAGCACATGTAGGCCTCAATTTGATCCCCTTATCAATGGGCAGCGGTCACCTTGGAGAGTGTGGTTACCAACAAGGTTGCCTGCTATCGCCATATTAATTTATCGTATGTTCTGAACTTCTTTATCTAGCTCTGACCCAACAAGCAGAAAATATTGGGATTCAACTTTAGAAGATCGGACCCCCAACTTTCCCATCTCCTCTATGTTGATGATGTGCTCCTTTTTGTCGAAGCTTTGACTACGTCGGCTAAAGTTATTATGGAGAACACCTCAAATTATTGTGAGTGGACAGGACAACGAATTAACAAACACAAATCTATGATTTTGTTCAGTTTGGAAGAGAAGAAAGCTTGCTAAATTGCTGAATTTTCATAAAGTTGAGGAATTGCAATATCTAGGCACCCAGCTTTGCCTTCGAGAGGCCACTAAAGCTGATTACAGCAAGCTTCTTGTTAGTGCTGCCACTAAGCTTAATTCTGTTCGGTTCCTCTCACTTGCAGGACGAATTACACTTCTCAATTCGGCTTATCTTGCGCTTCCTATGTGCCTGCTTACACATACCGAAGTGCCAAAAAGTGTTTTGGCTGATCTGGAAAAGAATGCCAGCAATTTTTTTATGAGGGAAGGGTAATGGGAGAAAGGGGCTACACTATGTTGCGTGGCAGTGTCGGTCAACCTTTTTTTTCGATATATAGATTTATTTGAAAAATATGATATATGAAAATAATTTTTGGAAATTTAATTTAATATAATAAATATATAGTTTGAGTTTTAAAAGTAGTATGTTTTAGTTTTGTTAAAAAAAATGAGACCAAGTGGATCTCATTCGTCCAATAGTTTGCATAATCGTGTCTGATACCGCGAATACTACACCCCCCGAAAGATAAGTGTAGACCTCGGCGATAGACCCAATCCAGCAAACTAAGAGATTTGTGACATCCGTTTAGTCTGCGAACCTTTTATATATGACCGACAAATTCCCCTATTTAATACAAAGATTAAATAGGGTTTATTTTACCTGGGTTCCAAGTTCCCTATAAAGGCAAGCCCATATAGTTAATTATATCTCAAATGATTGAAGTCACTTGAGAAAACTCTCGATAATGATCAGTGGTTCTAGTCTTCAA